GGTCTGTGGGTCCGAAGGCCCTCGGAAGGGCACGGAGGGGATGTCAGAGGGGGCTCCTCCCCGGCCCCCTCCCCGGGCTGCGCTCGCCCCGGTCCCGTCTGTTCTCCTTGGGCTTGCAAAACCAGTCTCATCCCCTCTCAAGTGCTTCAGCCCTCTTTTTTGAAGTCCCAAACAGCTCTGGCAGCAGTAGGAAGGTCTTTTCAGCTGTCGCAGCGTTATTGGAACAGGTTTCCTGTTTGTGCAGTTTTGCTCCTGCCTTTTCCTCCTCCCCCTGCCCTGTTTTTCCTCCCCAGAGCTGCTGCTCTGATCCCTTGATTCCCACTCCAGAGGTTTATCGCTGGTTGATCCTCTAACTGCCTCCCTGCCTCAGGCCCCCGAAGGTTCATCTTTCCCACTCCTGTGCTCACCATCTGCGCGTCCTTTCCACAGCTGATCACCTCCGACTGCAGCAGGAGCGGTGGTGACCCACATTCACGCGTATTTAACGCTCCCAAACAGCGAGAGCTCCTGGATGCAGCCGAAATTGGCAGGCTGCTCGCTGAAGCCTGCCATCAACATCAAGCGTTGCTCCACGTTACACAGGGAAACGATTCCACCCCCAGCACGGTGACGGGATGGGGTCGGGACTCAGCAGTAGGGTGGTGGGGTGACCCCGGTGCCGGCACAGAGCTGCAGCCGTCTGTACGAGGTGCTTCACGCTCCCCAGCCACTGTGCCGGTGGTCCTGAGCCCAGGGTCTTCTGCCCCCGAGCTGGGGGTAAGAGCGAGCTTCTCCCCGGTGCTCATCACCGCGGCTTTGCTGGAGGAGTGGTCCCTCGTCCCCGTTTGCAGCAGGTGGGGGATAATCCCCCCGCTGGTGCCAGCAAGAGGCTCTGAATGTGAGAGTGTTGACAGGGCAGAAATTTGTTTTTCCCAATGAATTTACACACCCCGTGGGGCTTGGGGAGCAGGAAGGATGCTTCTGCTCAGTGCCGTAGTTCCTCTTGCAGGAGAGGGACCTTGCCGGGACGCCTGCGTGCTGTGTTTTGGAGCATCTTTAATTGCTAAACGTCCAAAAGCTGCACGGTGAAGAACAGGCAGGAGGAGGGAAGCGGTGCTGGTGTGGAAGCTCCCCACCGCAGGGCGGGCAGACAGGACATCCTTCGTGCTTTTTTCTGCCCGCTGAGCTGCTGCTGCTCGTGGCGGGAGCCAAACCCATCAGCTCGTGTGGTGGCGGTGGGTTTGCCACTGCCAACGTGTTCCGTTCGGATGCCAGCTGAGGAGTGACCTTAGAGAAGATAAACAGGGCTCGAGTTAATCAGTACCGTCACAGCACGGCGTGACTCCTCAAGCATCAGCGGAGCGTGGGCATAGTGCAAATGTCGCTTGTTTGCACTGGCACGGCTCTGCTCAGTTACGTTCGCCGGGGATTGTCGACTTCGCTGCCTCCTGGCTTATCTCAAGCCTGACGGGAGAGGGTTCTTAGCCTTGTGCCCTCGTCGTGCTTAAGGAGATTTATAGGAAACAGCCTTAGGGACTTGCTGGAGCTGCTCTGCCGAGCTCCCTTAGCCCTGCTCCTGGTGCAAGCGGTGAAATGCAGGCTCCATGGACCTTCCTGGACCTTTCCTGCAAGCAAAACAGGGTGTACAAACCCAGCTCTGCTTGCTGTCGCCAGTGCTGTCCTCCCCCAGCTCACCCCGCATCCGTTCGGATGTCTGGCACCAGTGTGCCCATGTGCCGGCTCCTGGTAACCAGATTATTTAAAAACAGCATTGTTTTTCTGGGCAGGAAGGCTATTAGTAGAACCTGGGCTATAAATCTGTATTTTTTTTTTTTCCTTCTTGGACACATAATTGGATCTTCCAGAAACATCCTGGTTGCGTGATGAATGCTGGTTTTAAGCTGTATGAACCATCCCATAACAGTGCCGTTCAGCTCGCCGCTGCTCCCGGGACCATCTGCTGGCTGTTGGGGTGCCCTGTGACACCCCGCGGGGTGGTTGGATGAAGCAAGCGAGGGGCCGAGCGATCCCGTGGGCATCCCGGCACGGACGGGGTGCAGCGGAGGGAGGCTGCTGCCGCGTGGTGCGAGGGATGGGATCGCTGCTGCAAAGGTGGCTTTGCTCTTTTCTGTGCCTGGCAGGTCAGTGGTATTCTGGCAGAGGCTGTCCTGGGCAGGCAGCCTTGTCCTGGCTGTCCGGGAGCACTGTCCCGAGGCTGGCAGGCAGCCTGGTGCTGGAGCCAAGCCCTGCTCGGTCCCTTTGGTCTGTTGGTGGCTGTGGAGCTGGCAGAGCACCTCCTGCCTTGCAAAGAAGCGTCCCTCCAGGAGAGCAGCTGAAGCTGGGGTGGTTTTATCAGCACATCTCTGCAAAGCAGCTGCCCTCTGCCCCGAGAAATGGGTCATTCCAGCTCTGGAGTTCTGCAGGCGAGGTGGCAATGTGTGTGACCATGGGGAAAACTGCTTAGTGACTGTTTTCCCCCAGTCCCCAAATGTGGGGGGAGAGGGGAAAGCTTCCTGGGAACATGGGCCCAGGGGAACTTCCCCGACGTACCATGAGCACAGGAACTCCGGAGCGCTTGCCCTGCCTTGCTCCAAACATTGCTTCTGGTTTTGTGTTCCGGGCTGTTTTGGGGATAATGAGATTTAATCGGTCTCCGGCTCTCCTCCTCGCCTAACCAGTGGTTTAAATCCTATTATCTTGTAAAGCGTTGGGATTCTATCCCCCAAAATTGCATTAAGCTGGGATGGAAATTCCTTGCGGCTTAAACCTCGCCTCGGTACGGCGTTGAGCTTGGGGTTTGGTTGCCACTTGCTCTGCAGCTCCTACAGGTTTGCTGGTGTGGGAATGTAGGCGCTGGGGCTAACCCCCAGCGAGACAAACTGATCCGTCACGAGGAGGGCAGGGAGGAGCCGGGGAGGGTACGGAAATGCTTCCCGAGGATGGGATTCACCCAGTTGGGAACAAATGCTGTAAGCCCAGAGCCCGGCGAGACCTGGTGCCCCTTCCTCACGCTGGCATCTGTCTTACGGGGTGTTGCTTTGCCCTTTCCCACCACTTTCTTCCCAGCTTTTGTAACAACCAGACTCCTTCCAGGGAAAATGGGGTTTCCAGCCAAGGAGAGGAGCACAGAGAGGGGAACACGCCGTGGGTGCGGAGATGGTGGCTGGTTCAAGGCTGTGGGATGGGTGGGGATGCTCTCTGCTCATGGATTTCCTTTTACCAGCCCAGCTCCCCTTATCTCGGGGAGGACATAGGTTACATCCGTGGTGGTGCAGGAACTGGGGAGGCTTTGGTTGCTTTCTGTAACCCTGCTCAGAACCTTGCCCCTGGGATCAGGCTCGTGCAGGGTGGTGGGATCTGGGGTGCTGGGGGGGGTTTGTCCCAGCTGTGGGGTTCATCACCCAGGGTGGTGGGTGCCATGAGCTGCCCTGCTTGGCCCTGAGCACATGAGCTGAGGGGTTTTGTAGCGAATGAAATTTTTATTGGGATTCTTATCAGAGTGTTGCTTAGGGAAGAGGACTTTAGACGGGGCGATCTTTGCGCAGAAGGGGCTGTGAGCTGGGGAGCAGATTACAGCTCCTGCTGCTCTCGAGAGCCAAATGGTGTTGCATTTAGACTTTCTACCTGGAAACTGTTTCATGGCTGGCATAGGTTTTTGTTTTTTTAATTTCTACCCCTGCAATGATCTGAAAGTGTTGGAGCGAGGGGTAAGAGCTCTTCCTCCACGTATCCCAAGGGCAGCAGCTGCCTCTGCAGAAATCTCAGCTCCTTAATAGGAGGAATGATCATCCTTCTGATGAGCCCTCTGAGACCTGTCCTGCGTGGGGTACCCACGGGGCTCCTGGTCTTCACTCGCCAATCCTCCCCCTTTGCTCCCTTGCTGGCCCCAGTCTGTGTCCCCACCTCCTGCGATGCCCACAAACCAGCCCAGGCGGTTGCACCAGGAAGCTGGTGCCTCTGTGTCTCTGTTTAGTGCCAGATGACCGGAAAGCGTGGTGGGATGTGTGGGATTGGGAGGTACCTGTGGATGCATGATGGTGTGGTGATGCACATAGTGTTCTGGAGTTCCTGCAGATCCTGCGGGACAAGGGAGGGGGTTGAAGACCTTGCTTGTAATATCTGCTGTTCTTCCAGAAGGACCAAGTCTTCTCCAAGTGACTGGGGATGGGTGAGACAGTGGTAGCTGCCATCTCAGTGGGCTTAATCCTCGAGCAAAGCCTGCCAGCTCTTGTGCAGCACCTCTGGGGTCGGCCACTGGTTGTATCTGGGTCGCTCGGAGAAATGTGTCCCTGGAAGCTCTCCGTTAGTTTCCCGTCTGGCAGAGAGCAGTCTCCTGTTTTGGGGACCCCACCAAGGGCTCATTGCTATCCTCCTCCAGCTTTGGCAAAAGGGGCGCAGGGGTGTGAGAGCTGAGGAGCCTGAAGACCCCAGAAGGTCCCTGGTCCTGCTCATCTGCGGGGCAGGACAGCGCGGGGCTGCGCGAGCGAGACCACGCCAAGCTGTCCTCGGTGGGTCAGTCCCGTGGTGTGGGTGCCTGGGGCTGTGGGACTGTCACTTCTCTGTCTTGTGACAAGTGCCACCAGGCATGTGGTGTGGGACTGTCGTGGTTTTACACTAAACAGCCGCTCGCTCACCCTCCCCTCTCCCGGGGATGGGGGAGAGAATTAAAGGGGTGAAGGGAAAAGAGACTCGGGGGTTGAGATAAGAACAGTTTAATCACTGAGCTGCAATAATATTGGAAATAATGATGATAATAATAGTGGTATATACAAATGAGTGACACACAGTGACACTGCTCACCACCCCATGACCAAGGCTCAGCCTGTTCCCGGCTATTGATCCCGGAGCTTTTCAGGTTGTTTGGCACTGTCCCTGCTGAGACTCCATCCCGGACCCGAGCGTTCGTGCGATGCCAAGGCTCAGGTAGCAGGCGTCCTCATGGAAAGCTCAATATTTGGGATCTCTGGTTTTTCTCAAGTGTTGCTGGAGTCCTAATTATTGATTTTGGATTTTTTTCTTGTCGTTTGCAGTACAGTGCCGTGGACAGCAACCCCCTCTCTCTGTACGTCATGCATCCCTTCTGGAACAGCATCGTGAAGGTGAGCCCTCCTCCTGCCCTGAGCGGGACAGCAAAACTCTGTTCACCGCCAAGTCTTCTCTGCAAAGCTCTCGGCTGACAGGCGCTGCTTGGCTGAAAAGACCTGCTTCGTTAGTGGTGCAGCTAATTACAGAGCGCACTGCCTGCCAGCCTGCAGCTTCCTGCTGCCCCGTGATGTGTCAGACGCAGCTCAGCAGCGTTGTCTAACACCCAGACCATCGTCACCAGGTCTCTGCCGTGGCTGGGAGCAGCGCGTGGTCCTTATTACGTGTTTTAACGAGTTCATGTGTTCTTTTGCTGCTTTCCCATAGATCTTCCCTACCTGGCTGGCCCCAAATCTGATAACGTTTTCTGGCTTCCTGCTGCTTGTCTTCAACTTCTTCCTCATGGCATACTTCGACCCTGACTTTTATGCTTCTGGTAAGGCTGCCTGTTCCCGTTTGGATGTGAAGCATCGGAGCGGTGCAATCTGTCACCTCCTCTGCCGTGACCTCTGATGCTCGTTGATAAAGCCGCTTAGTCTGGGCGTTCCTGGAGGCAGGGATGGAGTTGAGGGGTTGAACTCCCTGGGCTTCGTGATGAGGACTTGCCGAGTATGGCACCTTCCCTCTGGCTGCTGGGTGGACGTGCGCCTGGCTGGCGGCACGCAGGCAAGGGAGGAGGAAACGGCCCAAATCTTGAGCAGGAATCGGCAAGAACCCAGTGCCCTCATTTCAAAATCTAACAGGATAACGTGGGAAACTCTTCTTCCCTGAGGTCAGCAGGTAGAGCCTTGTTCTTTGCATCCCAGATAATTGCCCTCTTGCAAAAACACCCCAGCACCGTGTTCAGACTAATAAAGGCAAAATCCTCTTTCTCGGTTTCGCCATTCTGCAAGGCAAGGATGTGCACAGCTTTGGAGTTTTTAACAGTGCCCGTGTCCATCTGTTCAGCAATCTGAGGGTTCAGTTGTGTTCCTTTCCTCGTGGGGGTGTCTCCAGGAAAAGATTGCTCCAGCACGATAACTCTCAGTCACTGATCAGTAGCTTCCTCTCTGTATTTTTCTCTCCCTTTGCCCCTGCCAGGTTTGATTTAGGTTGCTCGGAAGATTTAATCTAATTCTTCTAAAACTGGGCCAATCATCAAAACACAGTTAAGTGGGAAAAATACTGGTTTCTTGGGATTGCCTTTATTGGGAATTAGATGAGTACTGTTCTGGATATGCCAGGCTTTCAAAAGCTCGGGTGGCACCCGTGTTGGCTACGATTTGGTCCGTGAGCCCTAGGAAGAACAGCTGACGGTAGCTCAGGGAAGGAAGCTCAATGTGGCAGTCCTCCGGACATCAAACATCCAGAAACCTGGGCTCTGCCCAAGGGATGGTGAAGCTCACGCTTTGGGAGCCTTTTATGTACCTGTTATCCATGTCCTCCTTGGAAAAAACTTTTATTTTGCTGGTGAGGCCTCCAGAAGCTTGTGCCTTCCGTCCTGGTCAGATGGTTTGGTAGGTGTGATGCCCTCCACTTGCTGCAGGAAAGGCAGGGTGCTGCCCTAAGGAACCAGGAGGCGGCATTTCAGGGAATTGTTGTTGCCCATAGGAGACCTCCCTGTGCCCTCCTGTGAGGCTGCTGCCCAGCAGCCGTGCCTCTTGCTCCCTTTTCCAAATGCACCTGTGGGCTCCCCGGGTTGCAGGCAGCTACGCTGGCTCTCTGCCCACGCAGTGCTGGAGGCGGCGAAGATGTTACCGAGGAGGAACTCTGCTGGAATTGGCAGGGGGCAGGCTGGAGGTGGAGAGGGGGATCCTGGCGTGCGTCTGCAGACCTCGAAGAGGCTCTGCTTGATGCTGTGTCAGCGAGTGATTGAGGAAAGTGTGATCCACGCACCTCCGGGTCGTGCCGTGGGGCTGCGCTCGCTAGCAACCATCCCCGGTTCTTAGATCCCATGACTTTGGGACGGAGGACAAGCATGTCCTGGAAAGCAAAGTCCTTTCAGTTTCACACGCTGTTGTGGAACAGCTCTGCCGTCACGTCCTGGAAAGCTAACATCTTGCCTTCAGTGTTTTGAGTTGTGTAGGTGCTTTGTCTTGGTGAGCTGCCGGTGCTGTGCCCCTGGTGCCGAAATAAACCCCCTGAAGCGTGTACTGAGCTGTCCTGACTTGGGTCCTTCTCATCTCTGCAGCTCCTGATCACCAGCATGTTCCCAGCGGAGTCTGGGTCGTTGTGGGTCTCCTCAACTTCATTGCCTATACGTTGGGTAAGCCGTTCTCTAGTTGATTGTGGGGGTTTGTGTCTGTCATCTGTTCGTGCTGCGGCTGCGTGTTGTATTACCTCCAAGCCTGTGGAGAAATCTTTGATTCTGGGCTTGTGCCATGCACTAATCCCGTTGTGGCTGGGTCTCCCAGAGCAGCTTCTGGGAGCTGCTTTGCAAAGTGGACAGAAGGAGGTTGTCCCAGCGCAGCTGGTGAGAAAGGAGGATGCTGGAACTGACTTTGAGATGAACTGGGAAATTCTGTCTTTGGTCTGCTTTAAATAAACATCAGCTCGTCAGACTTTATTGAATTTTCAGCCTCAAGTAGAGCAGGGGGGTGGGAAGCACCCTCCCTGTTAGAGGATGGAGGTAGTGAGAGCTGCCTGCGCACGCTGTCAGCTGCAAACTGGCCCTTTGCTTTGCATTGTCCAGCAAAACTCCCCCTTTCTCCTCCTTCTCTTCCCAGATGGTGTTGACGGGAAGCAGGCTCGCCGGACCAACTCCAGCACACCCCTGGGAGAGCTCTTTGATCACGGGCTGGACAGCTGGGCATGCGTGTACTTTGTTGTGACGGTCTACTCCACCTTCGGACGGGGCTCCACGGGTGTCAGCGTCTTCGTTCTCTACCTCCTCTTATGGGTGGTCTTGTTCTCGTTCATCCTCTCCCACTGGGAGAAGTATAACACGGGGATTCTCTTCCTGCCCTGGGGATATGACATCAGCCAGGTGGTGAGTACACCCCGCAGC